CAGAATGCTTTGGGGGTTTTCTCATTTGCATCAACCTAAAAACGANACAATAGGCAATCGCAGTTTTACAGATACAAAAGTTACCAGACGCAGGTCCCGCGTAGTCACAACGAGAAATGATTGTAGGAGGATTCCTAGTGAAAAGATATGGCCTCCTCAGTTTGAGCTCCGACAACCCATTGGTGTAGACTTGCGTTGAAATGAGTATCTTACCATCATCTGGAACGTGATTATCAATTCAAATCATAAAGCATGTAATACATTAATTTAGTTCACTAAAAATAGGACTTATAAGGAGAACTAGTGTTAGTCAGAATGAAAACTCTCGAAGGGATAATAGATCAAAGGCATCCAACAACAGGAACCCACTGAAATCTTCGAATATAAACGATGGCTGACCTGATGATGCGCTCAGTTTTGGAACCTTAGCTGTTGTTTGAAGGGATTTTAGCAATTGATCGAAATTCTGGTCTCTGGAAATGGACATTCAAGATCTGCTGTCTTCTCGAAGACATGATGCAGTTTAAGGGCTGAGACTGACTTACTTGTTGAGGAAAATGACCTTATCCTTGGCGTCGTGAGATGGTTGAGGATTTGTAAACACCGACGTCATGTCGAAGAAATCAAAAGCGAAAACTGAAAGTGCGAATGAATTGAAATAAAAAGCAGATTTTATGCTAGTGAACTCATATTAGAAAAATGTAGGCATAAAGATGGTACCACCTTGACGGCAGTAGAGACTGGTTGGGCCTGGTTCCTGGTTTCTTCTCAGAGTGGACGACGTGTGTTCTACAGGAGCTATACGGGCGACTCGAGTTATTAAAACGAAACGTCTACCAATATCACTCTGATTGAAATTCTAAAACAACATATTTAGAAACTTCACAAACGCAGTTGACTGTTGAAGAGGTACCCACCGCGAACAGCCCGCTAATGTTGAGATCGCGTGAATTCGATTCATTACTTTTCCAGATGAATGTGAAAGTATCGCTGAAAGACAAAGTATAAGCGGAGAGGTAATCTGAACAACTGTATTGAAATGACCATAAAAGCTCCTATGAAATGATAGAAACATAGTTTAGTAGCCAACCTGGCATGTTGTTTTCTTTCAAAGTCATAGAGCACCATGCTAATTTCGCAATTCTGTTTCATCTGTAACTCTATGCTCTGAACCCGTAACAATACACAGAATGCTTTGGGGGTTTTCTCATTTGCATCAACCTAAAAACGAAGAAGACTACGACGACAGACGATATTATGCTGAAGCATCTTCCTTCACCACTAAATGTTACACAGCACATTACCACTAACCTGAGAGGAATCTACTGCAACACGCTTTTGAGCATTCTGATGTTCCGCATACGTTTGTAGGAAAGAAATTGAATCCGGATCGAATGCTAAGCCATGTTCGTTCCGTATTGTAACATTTAGGCTCAGCAACCTATAAACGAGGACTTACTTGCGTATCGGGCAAAATGAACAGACCACAAAGGCTTTCCGCAATAGAAGGCTCAGATGACAACCAGCTAGTTAGGTGGTGATAAAGGCATGAAAAGTAAAGCATACATATTTCCGCGGTCGATCTTCTTTGCAAGCTGGATTCGCAGACAATTCAGTTCTTCCGATGGGACGCCACCTGTAAACCAAAGGTCAGGATGGATGATTGAGCATAGTAGTAATATTGAACCATTTACACAGACCTGATAGAATCTTTTGTCTGACGGAGAGCATATAGTCTATAAAATCGAGGACTTCGTGAAAATAATGCATCTCCGAATGTTTGACGTAGATTTCCTGAAGACGTAATGAAGACATACCAGTCCCAAGTATCCCGTGTGGGCTCTAAGAGGTTAATTAGTAAATGAAAGCTTGAAAAGGCTTACTTTAATTTTTCTCCACCATATTTGCGTGACCTGACTTATTTCCTCTACGATGTTGGCACCTTCTGCAGTAGGATCAGTTTGTGAGTGTCGGTTCACAAACTTGAC